CTATATGTGTGTGTGCGTGTGTCTGTCCGCGTGTGTGTGAGTGCGTATATATAGATAGATAGATAGATAGATAGATAGATAGATAGATAGATAGATAGATGGATGGCACGGTGGAGTAAGTAGTGGCTTGGATTGAGGAATCGCAGAGCTGAGTTCGGATTCCAGTCGAATCCATTACATTCACTTAGGTGCTAACACCCTTGGGAAAGGTGTGAATCCTCTACTTCTCCCTCCAGCTATGGGTAAATAGCAGGATAGACTGGGTTCTATAGCCTTGGATGGCAACTGGTCTAGGAGAAGGACAACTCTGAATTCAAAACCTGCGGAGGGTCGTTTGGGGATCTTGTGGCACGTAGTGCACCAGATTTCTGTATTCGGCCCTTCAAAAAGTGTGGATGGTCCTGCAGGAAACCTTCACCACTATAATTAAATCTTATGTGCTGTTGTCGGGCTGTCATTTTCCTTGGAACTGATCTGCTTGACCCTCATACGTCGACGTTCGACGGGAGTGTCGACTATATATATATATATATATACAAATAAGAGAATGAACAGACGGAGTAAAAGTCCACTGTTCGTAGCATTTACTTTTTAAAAAGTGCTCAATACAATGTAGAGCAATATATTATTATTATAAGATATTATAATAATAACATGTAGAAATCGCTACACAAACGCTTTCGTGTTGCAATACCATGATTGTACTTCTTCAGGCGATGATTGTGTGTGTGTGTGTGTGTGTGTGTGTGTGTGTGTGTGTGTGTGTGTGTGTGTGTGTGTGTGTGTAATGCTTGTGGATAGATATGGGTAAAATGAAATCAGTCATCACAGCTGTATGATTGGACAGCGCCAATGCAGACTGGGAGGCGGGAAAGAAAGTAAAGGAAGGAGTCGCTGTCATTGACATAAATTCTCATCCCACCATCCACCCGGACAACCTGAACCGTTTCAATCTATCGTTTCGTCAGACAAAGAACAGTTATAAACTGGAGATCGCATCTAATGCTAGTCCAACGCATTTCTAGCATTCCCCGAAGGCCGACGTACTCACCCGAGTGTCACATCAATCCAGCCATTTGAACCGTGTAACCCCCGGGATATGTTAGATAAACATTGACTGTCAAAATAAAAAGGATACTGAGAGGAAAGTAACAAGGAAAACGGTTCATTCCCATACAACAGTGTTTGACCTTATCAGAATCATGTCAAATTGCTTAAGAGAATGCTTATTACCTCCCTTGTTTTTTTCAATAACGATCAGACCCATTCCTCTATGTGCTTATATGTGTGTGTATGAGAGGGTGTGTGTGTGTGTGAGAGAGAGAGAGAGAGAGAGAGAAAGAGAAAGAGTCGGGTGTAAGTGAAGGAATATGCGTTAGTATTTCCTAAGAGAAGATTTCGTCAGTTCTGGCACAAGACAATATTTGGAAATCTTCCATAGAATAAGGAATTCATTTGCCATTAATTTCAAAACTCGTTAACCATCACTTCAGGTTAGGTATAAAAGAATAATTATTGTTTTAATTTATTTAAAAAAAAAAAAAAGGCTGGTCGTTGTGTAATGGTAATTGGGGTTAAACTGGTTAACCATTAGAAGTGACTTTGATCCTCATTGGGGGTACCATAAAAATCGACATTAAATAACCCACTAATTTCTGGAGTAATCGATTGCAGTTCGGATTGAGGAATCGGAGAGCCGAGTTTGAATTCCAATCGAGTCCATTGCATCCACTTCCGTGCTAATACCCTTGGGAAATGTATAAATTGTATTCTTATCCACTAAATAGTAGGACAGACCGCGTTCTATAGCCTTCCAGGGTAACTGGTCTACCGCAGGGCGGGAAAAAAATCTGCCCCGTGAGTCATGTATCGAAAGATACATGATCGCCTATGCGCGTATCATGCATGGCACATAACTGACTGAACTACAATCAAGAGCCTTAATAATCATACACACTAAGAAAAATCTACGCAAGACATGTGAAGTTCTCCTCAGGAGGATTTTTTGGCAATTCCCATATTTTAATTTTAGGGCTGCCAGGAATTTCATTCACATATTTGTTTGCTCATTTTAGTATCATTCCAAAGACCCAATAAAAACGGGTAGTGCTGATGTTATTACTCCATGGAGTAATGGATAGCAGTTCGGATTGAGGAATCGGAGAGCCGAGTTCGAATTCCAGTCGAATCCGTCACATTGGGAAAGATATCAATCCTCTTCTTCTCCGTCCTGGATATGACGATAAACTACATTCGCGTCCTGGGTAAGACGATAAACTCCGTCCAACAACAAGGCCTCTGGTCAGGAGGTTTTGAGGAGCGTGGAATCACCTCTAGATTGATGGTGTTCTCAGGACCACCATGACTCTGGGTGGTAACACCTGTTAGGGTCCCAGCTATGGGCAAATAGTTAACTCCGAAACTGGGGTCAAAACACTATGAAAGTGTAAAAATATGTTTTAAATCCAGAAATACTTCTAAAAATTATTACCAGCAATAAAACTATTACCAACAATACGTTTTTGGAAAAAAATTATTACAAGCAATACATTTTTCAGGAAAAAATATTACCAGAAATAGATTTTTGACAAAACAAAATATTACCAGAAATAGATTTTTGACAAAACAAAATATTACCAGCAATAAAGATTTAGTCGGCATTAAATAACCCATTGAGGTCGATATGCCGTAAAACAAACCAAACCAAACTAAAAAAATTCTCTACTTTTCCCAAGGGTATTAGCTCGTAAGTGAATGTAATGGATCTGATTGGAATTCGAACTCGGCTCTCCAATTTCTCAATCTTCTTCCAGCTATGGATAAATAGCAGGACACACCAGGTTCTATAGCCTTTGATGGCAACTGGTCTACCGAAGAAAGAAATGGCAACCTATTGCGGGGAAAAATTCTGCCTCGACAGTCATGTATTGAAAGATACATGATCGCCTAAGCGTGTATCACGGATGTCACATAGATGACTGAACTGATGGAAAAATTATTTCCAGCCCACTAGGACAAATGGTTAGCGAGACTAATCAGGGTGCACATTACTCATTATATTCAATAAACACAGAATGTCGAATAATCAACCAACCTGAAAAATGTCATGGCCATTAATGTTGATGGCAGTCATGGAAAACCACGTTCATGATAAAAAAAAAAATTTTCTCTACAGATAATGTTTTCCTTATTATATGCGAATTAATTTTTACGCTACCTTGGTAAAGATAGTGGAGGGGTCTCCTGGTGTCTTCGTCACGTTATATTCTCTCAAATCTCTGACGAAAGTTAAATAAAAGTGAAACATTAGATTAAGGAACGTTTCGTATTTGCTCTTTATCTTATCATCCTGTCGGATTCCGTTCCATATTTAATCTGCATTTGATTTTTTAAATTATATATATATATATATATATATATATATATATATATATATATATATATATGCAGTTTATTCAATTTTTCAAATTGAGACTTACTTCATGATTATACATTGGAGTTGTCTCCTGATCCGTTCTTCCTGGTTTATATATATATATACATATATATATAAGAGAAAGAACAGATGGAGTAAAAGTCCACTGATCTAGCATTTACTTTTAAAAACTGCTGTGTGTGTGTGTGTGTGTGTGTGTGTGTGTGTGTGTGTGTGTGTGTGTGTGTGTGTGTGTGTGTGTGTAGTGAGACACTCAAACGTGTGCTGATAACTCAGGGGTATAATCACCGACTGAAAATTTCGATTCCGGTTTGAGGCAATTTAATGTCTACCCACAATTTTTACGTATTTCGAATAAACACGCCGTTAACCGACAGGACTCAATTCGTGGAAGAGCTTTGCAGTATTCGCAATAGTAGTCATTGTTTACAAATTCGCGCTTTCTCCCAAGAGTGCTCGATCGGAATTAAATTTTCCGGAGACGTATATATTGTCATCCACTGTTTCGTTGTTTCACAGCACATCAGTGTGATTATGTGACGTCCCTAAACACAGCCTTCGCTCGCTCCTCGCTGCTTCGTTCGGGTGTCGCCGCTCCAAACGTGACGTCCCCCTGTTTGCGTCAGTCGTGTTGACCCGTCCTGTGACGACCAACTGGCTTGGTATCGGTCGCGGCACCCAAATGTGACGTTCTAACCTCTTGGTGATTCGGATGGGAATCTGGTTAGATTCGATACCAGCCTCGTCGTTCCCAACTCGCTTACAACGTCTGGTTACCAAAGTAACTGCGTTGATCTCCAGTCCGCCTACCCACGTTGTGAATTGATCTTAGGCAGACGAAATCAATCAGTAGTTGGGGCCGTAATGCAAATTGAGTTCAAACGAGGGTGATATCGCACAAATATGCATAAAATAAAATAAAATGATAACTCAAAAGTTCAAGGTATCAAAAAAAGGATAACAATACTTTATGTCTAGTTGCTGGATACATAGGACTGCGTCCCTCTCCCGACCCGCTATATGGATTGTGACACGTTGTTTTTTGTTTTTTTGTTAGGCGAGTTTTAACACTTTAAGTTGTCTGTTCTTTAAGAAATTGGTTCTTGGTGTGTCTTCATGCGAAAGTCGAAAAACTTATTTTGGTGGTATGGATCAATCAATCAAAATCTTCAAAATAATTGTTCTTGGATTGAAGATGAGTTCGGAAAGTTGCGCGAATCTTAGTCAGCTGCGAGTCCTGTTTCAACTGAGCACTCTTCTCTGCTGAACTCTCCAGGAAACTCTGCTCGACTCCACTCGGAACTGATTTTTGCTCGCTGCGACTTTGCTTATATGGACGCCAACCAAAACCGGGGTGGGTTTGTCGGGGTTGGAGTCTCCGCGATAATTCTAAATACATATCCACTTCTTTTATTTTTGGTTAGGAATTTTCCACTTCTTTCCATTTTTGGAAGTCTTCTCTTACTCCCACCTTCTCACCATACTTCAGAGGGGCGTCAACGGTTCTCCCCACTTCTTCGTAGCAACTTCTCATACCTATCCTCTAAATGGGCGGCGGCGGCTTCCCTCCTTGCGTCACGTGATCACCTCCGCCCGGCCCTCGCTATCATTCGGCCAATGGTGTCCAGCCGGGTGTTTGTGATCCAGCTGGCTTTGTTTTAGGAAGAAAAAAAATATATCTTGCTCAAAAAAAAAATTATCTTTTTCTTTTCCTTTTCTTTCCTTAATCGCAGCTCTCATCTTCTCTAGCCGCCAACAGTACAATGCGACCAGTAGTGTGATAACCTCTATTCTCATCTGGACTTCGTCAGTCAGATTTTCGCCATTTATCAGAATGTGTGGTCGTGCAGCAGTTACGGCCAACGCTTCCGACAATATTGCTTCGCCCTAACAAAACCCAGACCTTGTCTAACGATATCTTTCCCCCGACGAAGACTTAACCTATTTCCTTTTGTTTTCCTTAGTTCATGGGTGGTCAGCAGTCCGTGACACAGCTAAATGTTTCTTATCTATCCAAAACTCTATATTCACCTGTTTTCTGTCAGACAGTTCTACGACACCGGCGGCCAGAATTTTTACTATTTTTTTCCATTATCCAATTAACATTGTCAAGGTCTCCGAGTTTTCTGCTAGCCAGTCTGTGGTTTGTCAATTAGATGTTCGCCAGTGTTAAGTGGATGTTATCTATCCCCGATAACACAAGTTCGCCACCAGAACATAGTCGATTTTCTTATCCACTTAGAATTTTTCTGCAATGGTAATGACACCTTTTCGCCATTTGCTACTTATCAAAATAACATTGTCAATGTCCCCGGTCGTAGGTGGTTTCTTTTATCATCTAAGCTTAACTCTCGCCTCTCTTTTCCTTTCTTTCCTTTCTCTTTTTCCTTTCTTTTCTTTTTTTGTCCTGTTAAATGGTGTCACAATTAGACATCCGACTGCCTGAAGCCGGGATCAAAAACCGACTGATT